CGCTGGCCGGGGGCGCCGGGGGAGCTGGGGGTGCTGGCGGGGGACCAGGTCCCGGCCAGGCCGGGTGGCTGGAAGGGGGCAGGACGGGTGGTGCTGGGGGACGTGTGGGCGAGGGCCCCGGGGGTAGCACAGCCTACGTGGTGTGCGGCGTCATCAGCTTCGCTCTGGCCGTGGGCGTCGGCGCCAAAGTGGCCTTCAGCAAGGCGTCCCGTGCGCCCAGGGCGCACCGGGAGATCAACGTGCCCAGGTGTGTGTGCTCTTGGGCGAGAGCCTGGGGGCGGGGCCTGGCCAATGGCGGTGGGGCCGTCTGGTGGGGGCGGGGCTACAGGATGGAGGCGTGTTCAGAGACAGAGTTGGCAGCCACCGCGAGAGCGGGAGCGAATGCCCAGGGAGAGGGGAAAGGCCTAACAAGAGAAGCGACAGAACCGAGCTGGCTTTTGAGGAGTGATGTGGAGTGCGGGGTGCGGATGTGGGGAAAAGCTCAGGCCCTCATTCATTCAACAAATATTTCTCAAGCACCTTCTGTGGCCCAGGAGCTGGGCATAAAGCAGTGAACAAAACAAGGTCTCTGCCCTAGTGGATAAGGATGTTTTCCAAATCCAGGTCTGCTTCCTGCAGACTGTGTGACCGTGGGCTTAACCTCTCTGTGCCTGTTTCCTGTCTGTACAATGAGGCTAATAATAGTCGCCAACTATTTGGATTGCAATAAGGATTGCAATGAGTTGATTCACATAGATGACTGGCAGATGGTAAATGCTTATTAAATGTTAGTGGTGGAGTCAGTGAGCAACCAAATACATATACAATGTAATTTTATATATTCATAACTGCCGTGAAGAAAATAAAACACGTAAAGGATTGGGGGATAGGGTGCTGGTTTAGATGAAGTGGTCAGAAAAAACCTCTTTGAGCAGAGACCTGAAAGAAGGATATTCATAACTGCCGTGAAGAAAATAAAACACGTAAAGGATTGGGGGGTAGGGTGCTGGTTTAGATGAAGTGGTCAGAAAAAACCTCTTTGAGCAGAGACCTGAAAGAAGGGAGTGAGTCGAGCAGATACCTGTGGTAAAGGCATTCCAGGCAGAGAGAATAACAGTCGCAAAAGCCCATGAGGTGGAGTGTTTGCAGGACAGGGAAAGGGACGATGCAGCTGGTGTGCGGTGAGCGAGGAGGAGGTGAGAAGCAAGCAAGAGCCGGGTTTATTGGAAGTGTGATGGGGAGCCACTAGAGGGTCCTGAGCTCAGGCGTGATGCCATCTGACAATTTTAAAAGATCACTCGGGCTGTGCATATGGAGGGGGCAAGGCAGGTAGTGGAGAGACCAGTTAGGAGACTGTTGCTATGATCCAGGTGCGAGAGGGTGCTGGAAGCAGCTGAGGTGGTGAGAAGTGGCCCGATTTGAGATATATTTTGGAGGTTAAATCTGCGGGATTGCTGAAGGGCATGAGGTAGAAAAAGAGTCAAGGGTGATTCTAAGCTTTGGGGTCCGCATAACCGGACAAATAGGGCACCCTTTATTGTCATGGGGAAGGCTGCAAAAGGAACAGAAATGGAGTCCTAGATTCAGGGTAGGATGGGGCCACAGGGAAGAGGCTGTGGCAGAGACCACAGAATGGGGTCCCAGATTCAGAAGAATCAATTCATTGGCGGCGTCCATTGAATTGGGAAAGGGGCGCTTCGATCAGGAAGTGTTGCCCGAGAGAGGGTTACTTTAGAAGAGGCGTGGCCAGTGACGAAGGGGCGTGGCCAAAGGCGAGAAGCAGAGCTGAGCTGACAGATTCTCCCCAAAGTGAAAACAGGGCGGGGAAAGAGGCCTGGGTCCTCCCTCTCCCGCTCCCAGCCCCAGTCCTCAGGTCGCTGACCATCCCTCTTCCACCTTTAGGGCTCTGGTGGACATTCTGAGGAATCAGGGGGGGCCTGGGACCCGCCCGGACCGGGCCCGAAGCAGTTCTCTGACCCCGGGGATCGGAGGTCCCGACAGCATGACCCCCAGGACGCCCAAGAACCTCTACAACACAGTGAAGCCTTCAAACCTCGGTGAGTAGGACGTGGGAGTCGTGGCTGCAGCCTCTGTCTCTGGCCACGCCCCTTGTCCCTATAGCCCCGCCCTCCCTAGATGGCTCCGCCTCCCATTGCCCAGGCCCTGCCCCCAGCCTCTGCCTTCCCTGAATCATTCCGCCATTCGACACCGGTCATACATAACTTGACTCTCATACATAACTTCACCTCTTTGGGTCTCATCTGTAAAATGAGAAGCATAACAGTACTCACCTCATAGGGTAATTGTGGAGATCAAATGATTAATGAGTCAAGTGCTTAGAACAACGTGTAGCACAGAAAAAATGCTATGTAAGGGTGAGCTATTTTTTTCCTTCCCTACCTTATGGGATGATCGAGTGAGCTATTATTATTGATATTCTTATATTCTTTTTATGATGAGTGCATCAATCGAGAAGTACAAGGAGCTGTAAGGGGAGACAGAAAAGGGTCTCTTCTTGTTTGAGGGGGAAGAGGTCTTCCCCCAGGGAGTAATGTTTGAGCAAAGGCCTGGAGGACGAGGGAAGTTACTGGAGCTGGGTGAGCTCTGAGTGGCTGGAGCAGATCTTGTGAAGCAGCCAGACCGGAGGCCAGGGAGAAGGTGGACAGAGGCCTCAAGGAGGGCCTTGGGCTCTGCCTTTGTCCTGAAGGCAATGTGGATAAGAAAAACTATTTCTCTGGAGCCGTGTGAGGGGGAGAGATGAAAGGAAAGAGGCTCAGAAGGAGGCTGGGATAATGGTTCAGGTGATTAGAGGATGAGGCCTGAGCTGGGGTCAGGGATGGAGAGCAGGAGATGAGTTGGAATACTAATAGGGAAAAGATATTTGACCTGGGTTGTGAGGGATGAATAGGAGTTCTTCAAGCAATGAGGGCATGAAGGGATTGAAGGCAGCAATAACGGCATAACAGTATGTGTGAAGGCCCTGCGGCCGGACCAAGCCAGGCTCATTTGAGCATCAGAGAGAAGTGTGGCTTGAGGGGAGGGATGAAAAATCAGGCTGCAGATGTCAACTGGGGTCAGGAATGAAGGCCTCTAACATGATTCCCAGTTTTGACTTTGTCCCATGCATGATGGTGAGCCAAGGAAGGGTTTTGAGCAGCAGATGGCCAAGTGTACGTGTCAGAATTACAGTGGTGGAGTTGGTCTTAGAGATGGACTGGCCAGATGGCCAGAGGCTGGTTTGATGATCCAAGAGGGAGAGAACAGGTCAGGGCAGAGATTCAGGGGTGAGAAGCAATCAAGTGGAAATGAGTGGGGAAGTGGGGAGAGATGGCAAGGAGACCCCCCAGATCTTTGGCCTGGCATTGGGGTGTGTGGTGGAGACTGGGGACAGCCCACTCACCCACCCATGGTCCTGTGCCCACACTCTCCACACTTCAAGGCCCCTCAGTTTTTCTCTTGAGGCCAATAGCATGGGTTAGTCTGTGGAGCTCTAAGGAGGTCCTGGATGTGGGATCAAGCTCAGGACCAGAAAATTTCTGAGAGATCAGGAGAGTGGTGCCAGCTGGGTGGGCAACGGCAGTGACATCACCTCCCTTCTCGGTCCCCCCCAGATAATCTGCACCACAACTACCTGCACCTCAACATCAACAGTCCCAAGCACCATGCTGCCACACTGGGTATGGATGAGGGCCCAGACTGAGGGGAAGAACAGGGCTCCTTCCCTTCCCACACTTGTGTTGGGCAAGCCCGTGCCAGCTGTCCAGAACAGAGCAGGAGTAAGGTCCCTGTGAGCCTGGTCCATATGGTGCTCACGGTCTGGCCAGGTCACAAAGTAAGCCTCAGTATCCTCACGTGGACACTGGAAGTTGTCATCTTTCTCCCACCTGGAGTAGGGGGGGACATGCATGGAGTGTACCTCTCCCAGCCTGGGGCCAGGCACTCAGTGGGTGCTGATAAATGCCTGTTGCCCCTCCTTCTGGGACATGTCCTCCTTCCCTAGCAATAAGCCTGTCCCCTGGGGTGAGGGGAGTAAGTAAGAAGAGTCTAAACTGCAGGAGCTTTGAGAGGCTGGGACCCCAGATTTCTAACTTCCTGAGGAACTGCTAGGTATGAGGGAGGAGGGAGCTGGGGGCCTGGACTCCTGGGTCTGAGGAAAGAGGGGCCAAACTGATCCCAGCCCTGTCCTCTCTGACCCAGACTGGCGGGCTGTGCCCCCGCCCAGCCCCTCCTTGCATTACTCCACGCTGTCCTGCTCTCGGTCCTTCCACAACCTCTCACATCTGCCCCCATCCTACGAGGCTGCTGTGAAATCTGAGCTGAACCGCTACTCCTCCCTCAAGAGGCTGGGTGAGTTCTGGAAGGGAAGCGGGCAGAGGAGCCAGGGTGGGCGACTGGGCAGAGTCAGGGCCAGGGGCCGGGTTCAGGACCGTGGACAGTAGCCCAAGAGCTCTCTAGAGTTTTAAATCCTCCCTCAGGTTTTTCTCCAAGTTTGTTCTAGAATTACCTGTGGTTTTTTAGAAAGGCAAATTCTAGGTCTACCTTCCCAAGACCTATCATATTAGTCAGTACTTGTACTTGCAATTAATAGAAATACAACTTATGCCAGAAAAAAAATTACGTTGGTATGTTGGCTTGACAATGTAAAGTCTACAGGTTACTGGCTTCAGGTATGGCTGGATGCGGGAGCTCAAAAGCTGTTTCCAGTATTCTGAGTCTCTTAGTTCTGCTAAACAATAGACTGACCTAATTTTCAAACAGATTCTCCCCTCGTGGTGGCAAAGATTGCCCCAAGAATTTTCACACTGACATTCTATCAGCTTAGAGATCCTGGCAGAAAAGAATCTCTCCCAATGATGCCAGCAAAAATCTCAGGACTGGCTAGTGGTTAGCTCAGTGATTAGAGCACAGTGTTGTAATACCAAGGTCGAGGGTTCAGATCCCCCGTACCAGCCAGCCACCAATAAAATAAAATAAAATCCCACCCCCCAAAGAAATCCCAGGCCCACTGTCCCAAGTAGGGTCACATGCCCATCCCTGAACCAACCCTGGTGACTCTGATTGGACATTTTCCTCTCTGTGGCCCATGCCTGGCAGTGGAGTAGCCTTCAAACATTTTACTTTATTTTATTTCATTTTATTTTTTTAAAGATGACCGGTAAGGGGATCTTAATCCTTGGCTTGGTGTTGTCAGCACCATGCTCACCCAGTGAGCGAACCGGCCATCCCTATGTGGGATCCGAACCCGTGGTCTTGGTGTTATCAGCACCGCACTCTCCCGAGTGAGCCATGGGCCGGCCCCAGCCTTCAAACATTTTAAACTGAGAGCCATGCTAAGAATGCTCTTTATATTATGACCCAAGACACACACACACACACACACACACATATTTAATTACAGAAAAGCTTTGAAACTTGTTATTATGAACATTTTCAAACATACACAAAAGTAGATAAAATTATACAATGAACCCCATGTTCCCATCACCGAATTTTAACAATAAGCAACATTTTGTTAATCTATCCTCCCTCCCCTCCATCTTTTGATGAATTCTTTGAAAACATATCCTAGGGCCGAGCCCGTGGCACACTCGGGAGAGTGCAGCGCTGGGAGCGCAGTGACGCTCCCGCTGTGGGTTCGGATCCTATATAGGAATGGCCGGTGCGCTCACTGGCTGAGTGCGGTGCAGGCGACACCACACCAAGGGTTGCGATCCCCTTACCGGTCACGAAAAAGACAAAAAAAAAGAAAACATATCCCAGATATTATGTCATTTAGACTTTTAATATTTCAGTAAGACACACACACACACACACACCTATCTGAAATTTTAAAATTATGAACTGGTACTTACCCTTATCTTATTATGTGGACAGCTTCTGATAGTTTTCTCTTCTGTTCTATTTGATTTTATTTTTCAAAGTGCTGATCACTACCCACAAAATTGACTTTACCATCCACCAATGGGTTGCAACTCTAAGTTTGAAAAACACTGCTAGAGGATGGAAGAGAGGGGAAGATGGTTCCAAAAGAGAGTTGGGTTCTACTCCCCAAAAAGGAGATACTCAGGGCCGAGCCCGTGGCGCACTCGGGAGAGTGCAGCGCTGGGAGCCCAGCGACACTCCAGTCGCGGGTTCGGATCCTATATAGGAATGGCCGGTGGTGCAGGCGACACCACACCAAGGGTTGCGATCCCCTTACCGGTCACGAAAAAAGACAAAAAAAAGGGGGGGGGGATACTCAGAGGCAAAAAACAAAACCAAAAAACAAGGAAGTCCCTGTCATCTACTGGCACAACACTGCACCTGGGGCCTGGGAATCTACATTTGGTACATAGCTACCCTGGTAGTTCTAATTGATTAAAATCTGAGAATCATGTACCGGTGCCCAGGTTAATGACTAGGTTGTTCTGGGTGATGCTTGGGGTCTTGATGGGGGCACAGGTACAGCATGGGGATGGGGATGGGATTAAGGAAACCAGGGGAGGAAGGCTCTGGGCTGGCAGAAGACCCACCTCTGTGGCTTTTTCCCTTCTCCCCCCAGCCGAGAAGGATTTGGACGAGGCCTACCTGAAGCGCCCGCACCTGGTGGAAATGCCCCGCGGGACGATGCCCCTGCACACGCTGCGTCGACCTGGCACGGGGGGCGGCTACCGCATGGAAGGCTGGGGTGGGCCAGAGGAGCTGGGCCTGGCACCTGCGCCAAACCCTCGGCGGGTCATGTCCCAGGAGCACCTGCTGGGCGACGGGGGCCGGGCCTCCCGCTATGAGTTTACGCTGCCGCGTGCACGCCTAGTGTCGCAAGAGCACCTGCTCCTGTCCTCGCCCGAGGCCCTGCGCCAGAGCCGCGAGCACCTGCTCTCGCCACCTCGTAGCCCCGTGCTGCCCCCCGAGCCTACCACCCGCGCCAGCCTGGCCGCCTCCCACTCCAACCTGTTGCTGGGGCCCGGAGGGCCTCCAACGCCGCTGCACGGGCTGCCGCAGCCCCCAGGCCTACACACTCACCACCACCATGCCCTGCACGGCTCTCCGCAGCCAGCCTGGATGTCCGACGCGGGTGGGAGCGGGGGCACGCTGGCCCGCAGGCCGCCCTTCCAGCGCCAGGGCACCCTGGAGCAGCTGCAGTTCATCCCCGGCCACCACCTGCCCCAGCACCTGCGCACTGCCAGCAAGAATGAGGTGACTGTCTGAGGCCGGGGCTGGGGGTCAGGGCGCTGTGGCCTCCCAGGCCTGCTCATCCCAGCCTAGATCCCCCGACGTAGGCTCATGCACTTCAGGGGCCTGGGACCCATATGGGCCCTGGGACCGGAGACAAAGCCAACTCCCGGGATGTCACGGCAGCCAAGACTCCTCCTCCTATTACTTCACTGTTTGAGCCAAGGTATCCTTCCCATGATGTCATCACAGAAGAAGAGGCCTGCCCATGAGGTCATCACTAGCGAAAATGTATGTGTTCTGTGATGTCATCACAGGGACAAAAAATTCCCATGGGGTCATCACAGAGGAAGAGACCTACCTATGAGGTTATTGCTAGAAACTATGGCTATGTTCTATGATGTCATCTCAAAGATGTCTTTCCTGTGATGTAGTGGCAGAGATAATGCTTGTCCCTTGATACCATCCCTAGAGACAAAGATTCTTTCCTGTGATGTCACTGTAAAGACAAGTCTCACCCTTATGATGTCATCTCTAGCTCTAAGGCCCCTTTTGGCATCATCATCATGAGGAAAATATTTTCTTCATGTGTCTTCTCAAAATGATGTCATCACTACAGTCAAAGCCATCTTCCTGGGATACATGGCAAGGGAAAGTGCTTTGCCAATTGTGTCCTCACTAGAAATGAGGCCTCCTTCCCACAACATCATCACAGGGACTCTGCCTCCTTCCTGTGATGCCATCACCAGAGAAGGTGCCTTCCCCTATGACATCATCAGAGGGACTGTGCCTCTTCCTGTGATGTCATCACCAGAGAAGACAACCCACTCGTGGGGCCTTTCCAGAATAAGGCCCGTCTGCAATGTCACCATCAGACAGTACCCACTTTGAGATGATACCAGGAGATACCTCCACTGCTGCTGCACATCATGAGAAGGCAGGGCATGTCACAGTCAAGGACCACCCTGGAAAAGATGCAGAAAAAGTACCCTGTCCTGAGATATCATCTGAGGGATGTCATCGCTGGGGAGGCCACCCTATTTGCAGAGGCCTTGTCCAGAGACAATAGTCTGTCTGTAGGTTGTTGATGGTGAAGCCCCCTCCTGCCCCCAATGCTGTGATGTCATCATAAAGAGCTTCCTCCTCAGAGACAGTGCCCACTCTGGATGGCCATCACTACTGATGTTGTCACCAGAGTTTCTGCCTTGTCCCACCATGACTCAGCTTGGTCGCTCCTTCCCCTGACCCCAAGGATATGTCTGACAGGATCCTCACCAGACCCTCCAAAAGGAGGTTTGGGCCTCAGGTCCCACCCCTGTGCAGTGACTCCTGAGGGACAGCACCCCCAGACGGGCTTCTGCTCTAAGGAGGCCACTCTGGCACACAAGGCTTCTGGAGTCCTGGGACCCAGAAGTGGCCTAAAGGCTGGCACCACTTCCTTCTGGCATATCTAGAGACATCATTGCTGGTGTCAACAAAGTTCTGGCCTTCTGTTGGGGGTGGGGTGGGGTATGTGCCTGTTATTGCCCTCACTGAGGACATCATGAATGCCACACAATATCCACCATTCATGAAGGCATTGCACCTGGGGTCAAATGTTAACCATGTCTGATGGAGGCATCATGTCCCAGGATTCCCTATGACCCATCAAGTCTATGGTATTACCCTCTTCCAGGATTTACCATGACTAATAGTGTCATCATCTCCCAAGAGTCCCCATAGCCAATGGTATCACCATCTTTCATGATTCCCCACAACCTTTGTATCATCTCCCAGATTCTACCATGACCAATCATGTCATTACCTTCCAAAATCCACTGTGCCCAATGGTGACATCCTCTACCAGGATCCACTAGGACTGATAATGCCACCATTTCCCATTTCTCCCATAATTGTTGTGTCACCACCTCCAAGAATCCACTTTAATTATGTGTCTTCATGTCCCAGGATCCACTTCAACCATGGTGTCATCACCTCCCAGGATTCATAACACTTACTAGTGTCATCATTATCTACAAGGATCTATGAGAGCCATGGGGTTACTACCTCCCAGGATCCACTTCAACCATGTGCCATCACCTTCCAAGGTCCACTTCAACCATGGTGTCATCACCTCCCAGGATCCATAACATATAATAATGTCCTCATCATCTGCAATGATCCATGAGAACCATGGTGTCATCATCTCTCAGAATCTATGACAGCCTATGGTGTCATCACCTTCCATAATCCACTTCAGCCACGGTGGTACCATTTCCTATGACCCATGAGAGCCAATAATGTCAGCATCTACTGTGATCCACCATTTCCATGCTGTCATCAACTACTGAGATCCACCATATCATGGTGTCACCACCTCCCAGGATCCACTTTAACCATGGTGTCATCACTTGCCAGGATCTATGACACTCAACAAAGTCATCATCTCCTAGGATTCACTGCAATCATGTACCATCACCTAACAGGATCCATCATCTTAGAGGCCAAGTACCACAACAGGCTGTATTTCAATTATCCTCTGGGATCGCATGGCACTTACTCTGTTCCCACAAGGGGAACCAGCACAATACACCATTTTCCCATTCCCTCAAAATGAACTAGGGTGGGACTATCTGTCCCTTCTGATGACATCATCCACACTCTGGCCCTTCTTGATTATGTCACTGCCTCACTCCTGACCTAGGATAATACCTGGATCAAATCCACCACAAACTTGGCCTCAGCCAGCCTCCTTTCATCCCCCCTGGTGAAGGTGTCCAGGTCCCACTTGATAACATCACTGCCCCATGCCCAGCCATATGTTCGGTGACAGGGTCAATCCAGCAACCTCTCATCACCAGAAGTGAGGCTTTCCAGCCCTTGGATGACGTCACTGCCCCTTGCCCAATCCCTGTTACCTGGACCCCTACCATGATCAGCACTCCGCTGACTTGGGCCAAACTCTCCTCAGAGACCCCTGATCCCTGTGGGATGAGCTGACAGCTGACAACCAACCTAGGGCCTTAAATTCTGTCTTCTGCTGGCCTGGTCCTGGGGTGGGTACACCTGAAGAGCAACGGTCCCTGCCAGCACCATCTGCAGGGGCCAGGGATGCTCCTTCATCTTTCTCCCTAACACGCTGGGGAGCCTCTAGGGGCTTCAGGGAGTCCCTAACACCTAATGCACAATCTGCCCCAATTCTCTTTGTACATAGCCATGTTGCAGGGGGCGGCCATTCCCCCACTCTTAAAGGGCTACATGCCCCCCTTCCCTAGCCCCCAGGGCAAGGTAGGGGGACCTCTTCTCCTTCCTCTGGGCCGCCCCCTACCTCTGTTTCCCCCAAATACTAGCATCTCAGCTCACCCCTTTTTGTCAGGAACCTGGGCACATAACTAGCCCTTGGCTCCCACCACACTGAGGAAACTAGGAGGTGACACCCAATCTACCTAGACCCCGGTGCGAAGTTTTCAATCCTTTTGCTTATAGCTGCTGCGATAGGCTCTCTCATCCCTTCTAGGGCCTCCCCATGCCCAGCTTGTGGCTTCCCCAGAAAGGAGGCATCTTGAGCCCCTGCCCACTCCCAGGTCCTTCCCCTCTGCTCACCGCCCCCTGGAACACTCAGCTTTCTCCAGCCCCTGGAACATAGGGGTTCGGGGCCTTTCAGCTTTTGTATGCCCCCTTCAACTTGCTCTCTCCTGGCCTGGATTCCAGGAATCTTGCCCTCCACCCCTTATTCACTCCTGCACAGGGTGCCTGACCCTGGGGCCTTGACCTCTTATCTCAAATAAGCCATAGTGGGGAGAGGTCTCAGAGTGGGGAGTGGGCATGAGACAGCAGTCCGTGTCCTGCCAGTTCCCCTTTGATGTTTTTGGAGCTGGGACCTCGCCATCCTAGTCTTCCCCCGCCCCTGAATAAACTGCACGCAAGCACACGCATGTGTGCACGCACACACACACACAGACACCCATCTCCCCTTCTGGTTGGGGGGCCATGGGGGTGTTTGCAGAGAGAAGAAGATAAACCTTTCTGTACCAGAAGACCCTCCCCAGCTTCTGCCTCCCTCCTTATCCCTCCCACTCCTACTCCTCTCTCCAACACTGGCTCCCTTCCCGCAATTCCTTGGTGAGAACAGCTGGAGGAGCTGCAACTTGGTATTTTTTTGGAATAAACAGATGTTTTCCTGATCTGACATCTCAAGGTTTACTGTCAGGAATGGACAGGTTTTCAACCACGTGTTTATGGGTTATTGGGAAGCCCACCATCCCACATATATGGCTGAGTACAGATGTGGCTAACAGCAAGTTGGCAGTTTGCCAGGGGAGGACCTTCTAAGTGTCTCTTTCCACATGGTTCAGGGTCACCTCCCACATTGTCAATTACCAAGCTGAGGAGTCAGGGAGTTGGGGGGAGGGAGTTGCATTATAAGGTGCTTTTAGGTTTCAGGTTTTTTCCTAAGAAAGCCCTCCACCTTCTGAACATGTAAACATTTATTTGCAGATTCTAGAGCTCACCTCCTTATATTTGAATTCCTTGGCTGAATTATCATTAAAGTGGGGGGAGGGGAGTATTAATTTTCCAGTGTCACAAACTGGGCAGCTTAAACAACAGAAATCTATCGTCTCCAGTTCTGCAGTCTGGAAGTCCAAGATCAACGTGTCGGTGGGGTTGGTTCCTTCTTGGAGTCATGAGGGAGAATCTGTTCCCAGCATCTTTCCCAGCTCCTGATGGTTTGCTGACCATCTTTGCCACTCCTTGACTTGTAGATGTGGTTCTCCCTGTGTCTGCACATCATCTTCCCTCTGAATGTGTCTGTCTCTGTGTCCAAATTCCCCCTTTTATAACAACACTGGTCATGTTGAATTAGGGCCCTCCCTAATAACCTTATCTTAACTTGCTCATCTGCAAAGACATCATTTCCAAATAAGGTCACAGTCACAGGTGCTGTGGTGTTGGGACTCCAACATCTTTTCTGAAGGATGTAATTCAACCTATAACAGGGAGGTTGGCATGGTGCAGTCAATTTAAGTGTCAGTTTTTATGATAATTAGGAAGTATTTTCCCTACCTACTTTCCCCTACC